AAAGTTGGTAACCTCGATTGTAAGTTCTTTTCATATAAGATTTTATACTATAGGCCTATTCTACATAATTAGCTTGCTATAGTAGTTACATTAGCTGTGAGGCAATTTTCATTACTACATTGCTGTTGAGCGTTCTACATTAGCTGGGGTTGATTTTGTTTTACTACATAATCTGTTAGGGTTTGTACATTAGCGGGGATTTTACTACATAAGCTGTGGAGTACCGTATGCTACATTAACGGTTGTTACTACATTAGCTGTTGTTTTCTACATTAGCGGTTGTAACACGCCACTCCTAAGGTGAACATTTCCTGAAGCGCCCCGTTTGAATAAGCGCCCCTCAATAATACCATAAGATTTCCTTTTTAGCAAGTCAATAATCCAATACCTGGGACTGGTTGTTGGCATGATTTGAGCTGCAGAGTGCAATCACATTCTTCTTAGGTCAATATCAAAATGAAGATATTTCTCTTGGACAGATAAGAGCTCCGATCCCTGGACAGACAGTATGTTTCCAACTTTACCTTACATATTTGTCTAGGCCTAGTCCTACTGCTCTTTTTCTTTTTTCGACAATTTGCACCTTCAGCGCATTCTCATCTGAAATGATCCTGCCGTCCTCCTAATCTCAATCGGCCGATGGCCAACAAGCAACCTCTACCAACCACCACTAATTGCATCTGTTATTCTCCTGTTATGTAAATATTCACAGCTTTCTTGTCATGAGCCATGTTCTCTGGACTATTATCATTTCTGCCGCACCCCCATTCGTAATGCCTTTATATAACATTTTTCATTCAAAAGTGTCTTTTGAATTTAATAAATTGCCATAAGAACCCCTCGATTTTCATCTATTTCCATAAGCGTCCCCCAATTTCCACTTTGTTTTCATAAGCGCCCCGTTTAAATAAGCGCCCCGTTTGAATAAGCGCCTTTCAGAAAGTGCAAAAAAAATATTTTAATCACCCGGGCGCTTATTCGCGCGAGTACGGTATTATATTCTAAAATATGTAAGTATCAAACAATATTGCTCTCTTAAAATGTGTTATGTTCAAACTTCCACTGTTATAAATATTAATAATATAATTGATGTAAAATTATAATAATATTGCATAGGCCTATTATAAAATAAATAGTAATAATGATAAAGATAATGAATGCTAATGATGATAATTACAATGTAATGATTAGTGATGATGAGAATAATAATATACATTGTTTTGTATCTGAATTAATTCATTTTTTTTTTCTTTTTCTTTTATTCAAATTCAAATCAAAATCGCAGCCAAGGCTGAATTAAATGATATTTACAAATAATTAGGGAAATATTAAAACATCAATCAAATCAATCAAATCAAACCCAAGCACTAACATTAAAATACATTAAAATTTGAAACATCAGAAGTACACAACAGGTTAAAAAACAAATACGTAATGAAATCAATTATTTGTATTATTACGTATTGAATCATTATTATAACTGTATTATTATTATTACTATTATTATTATTATTATTATTATTATTATTATTATTATTATTATTATTATTATTATTATCAAATATAAAAATTCAGGATGGAAAGAAAAAAAGAGCAATCATCCAAGCATTAATTAAAATTACATCAAAATTGGGAAAGAAGAACGCGACATGACAAAAAGGGCCAACATTTAAATTAAACAGAAAAAAAAAGAAAAGTGTATGTCATTTAAAATGGACCGATAACTCTGGGTATAATGTAAGTTGTCATGCATTTATTTAATAATTATTTTCGTTGTTACATTATTTTCATATATTTTCATATACTAATAGTCATTACAATAATAATTATTAATAGTTAATATTAATATAATTAATAACAATTAGGCTAGAGCAACAACCAATCAATAAATAACCATCAATCAATATAATTGATAATTGATATCATAAATAATAATAATCATGATTACTATTATGATCATTATTGTTATTAACATTACTATAATTATTATTATTGTTTTAATTATTATTGTACGTAATCCAAAATCATTCATTTAGGATTGAAGTAAGAAATTGTTTTGCACTTTTTCGATACCTTTCCACAGTACACAGTAACATTAGGCCTACCTATAAGTGACTCCAACCCGGATGTTTATACTTATAACATCACATTCAATTGTTCTGTAATGTTTGCTGTTGTTAAGCTTGCACTTGTGCATGTTTTTTTTTGTTTTTTTAAATATACAGTAACCGTATGCCTACCAATAAGTGACTGCGACCCAGATGTTTATACTTATAACATCACATTCAATTGTTCTGTAATGTTTGCTGTTGTTAAGATTATTATGATTATGATTTGATTATGATTATTAATTTTTATTATTATTATTATTATTATTATTATTATTATTATTATTATTATTATTATCTTATCGATCGATTTATCCATCCATCCATCACCTATTCGAACACGGGTAAACAATTGGTGCGTTTGACTAGTAGAGACTGTTCATTAAAAAAGTCAGTGAAGAAGATATATCCCAAAATATATATATATTCGTCTATTACAGAAACAATGAATCTCAGTATAGGCCCCCTATGTAATTCTCTTTATAATTACTGTGATCTCTAATCATAATGTCAACATTAATTAACATCTAAATTTATACTCAGTTTGATTAAATGTTGATTATTACATGTACACTATTTCAATATTAATAAATACTCGTATATCATTAATCAATATCATTCATCAATAGTTAAATTTAACATATCAATATAATATCTATCACTGTCTCTCAAATGATCTATTATAGTTAAATTTAAGTTTATGAAGAATAGACACAACACGCAAAACAGTTAAATTTAACATATCAATATATCATACTAATGATTTACTATAGTTAATTTTAAGATTATGGAGAAAAGAAAATAAACTGTCATTCATTTATCACTAATAACACAGGTTATCTTAGAAATATGAATATCATGCAAACTATTTCATTCATGAAATTAATCAGCATCTAATGCAGATCATTTCATTCATAACAAGTTATAGAAATATAAATATCATGCGAAAAACTATTGATGAAAATAGTATCTCATGCAAATCATTTCATTCATAATATGTTATAAATTTGAATATCATGCAAACTATTTCATTCATGACATGAATTAGTATCTCATGCAAATCAATTAATTTATAACAAGTTACAGAAATATGAATATCGTGCAAACTATTTAATACATGAATCAATTAGTATCTCATGCAAACTATTTCGTATAATAAGCAATGCTCCAAAATATTATACGGAGCAGTCAACAAAAATCAAATGTTACTCCAACCATCCGAAGTCATTTCTGTTCAATGTTCCGTGTTGTACAGTTCACTTTTTTATGATTTCAATAAACCAATACACTCCGTCAGCAGCAATCCTGAACAAAATACTCTAGGATACAAAAAGACAGTCCATCGCTTGCGCACTTTTTTCAACAAGCCAGTCCATCGCTTGTATTAAATGGAAACAGCAATATTGTATTTTTTCAATCACAGTTCCTACCAGCCCCCAAAAAATAAATAAATAAATAAATAAATAGATAAATAGATAGATAGACTGACAGACAGACAGACAGAACGACAGACCGACCGACAGCCCGACAGACAGACCGACAGACAGATAGATAGATAGATAGACAGATAGATAGACAGCTAGATAGACAGATAGATCAATAGATAGATAAATAGATAGATAGATAAATAGATAGATAGATAAATAGATAGATAAATAGATAGATAAATAGATAGATAAACAGATAGATAGATAAATAGATAGATAAATAGATAAATAGATAGATATATAAATAAATAAATAAATAGATAAATAAATAGATAAATAAATAAATAAATACTTACTTACTTACTTACTTAGGCTATTTATTTTACGGATACTGACACTAGTGCAGACACCACTAATGTCTCTGATGCACTTTACACACTTTACACTTTAGTACAATTGGTGTCAAACTCGCTAATAAAAATGTAACAGTAATGATTATTTAATGATTATTTGAATTTAAACTTTGTTAATTTATTCTTTCTTCTACCTACTGATGTGGAAGAAATAATCAACATTGTATCTGAAATTCTAAAAGTGCAGATGAAATTACTGGTAACATTCTTAAGTGTATTATCCCATCTACTGCTTCTCTTATCAGTCATATATTCAATCTGTCTCTCTGCACTGGGGTAGCTTCCATGTTAACCCCTCTCCCACCTAGGTTTATTTCACCTAAGAGTCGTACGATTTCTACGAGTTAAAACTCGTGATCTTTGGAAAGGACCTATACGAGCTTATTACGTGATAGCTACGAGTGAGGTACGACTTATGGAGTTGGTTACGAGTTACGTACGAATTATGCCGAGCAGACCACCGAGTTAACTACGAGATTATTACGAGCGTAACAAGTTTGTACCGAATTAGATACGAGTTAGGTACGAGCCAACTCGGTGCGCTCGTACTCGTTTTTGGGTGCTCGCATCAAACTCGTAGATGACAAAACCGCCGACGAGTATCCAGAGTAGTGTACGAGTTAGGTAAGAGTACCCCGAATACTCTACGTGCTACCTACGAGTTTACTACGAGTTATCTACTCGTGGCGATAATTTTGAACATGTTCAAAATTAGCGCCACGAGTTCAGAGCTGCTACGAGTAGGTAAGAGTCCTCTCTGAGCTTTCCGAATCGTCCTACGAGTTTTTGCCGAGTTTTCCGAGTTAGCAACTCGGCATTCTCTTGTAACTCGTATGCTGAAAAAACCCTAGTGGGAGAGTTAAAGTTGCAAGACTTTATCTAATGTACAAATCAGGAGACAAAAGTGTTTTAAATAATTATAGGCCTATATCTATTTTTATCTCCTATTTCTAATATTCTTGAACGAATAATTTATAACAGATTTATTGGTATGTTGAGAAATAAAACATTATCAATGATATTAATGTTTTCTTAAGAAGGGTTCAACGTATATGGCTGTACTTTATCTCATTAAGAAATTTCGTATTGCCATTGACGAAACCCCCATTTGTATCTTCATTGATCTTAGCAAGGCATTCTACTATGTAACGCCACAAGGACAAAGTACAAGTGGCAGCAGTGCAAAATACGGAGTTAGCAGTGCAAAACGCAGAGACAGCAGTGCAAAACTCAGAGTCAGCAGTGCAAAACACAGTCAGTAGTGCACAACACAAGCGGCAGTAAAAAATTCATGTGGTAGTATTAAACTTCGAGTCAGCAGTGCAAAACTCGGAGCTGATTTTATAAGTCCGCAATGACGATATAACATTAGTGCAAAAAACAGAGTCAGAAAAACACAGTCAGCAGTTCAAAACTCAAGCGCCAGTACAAAGGATAATGAATAGCAAACCTGGTGGTTGTGTGTTCGATTCCCACACGAACCAATTTTTTTTTTTTTTTTTTTTTTTTTTTTTTTTTTTTGCCGCGTGCTTACGAACGGTGTCACCTAACTGTATTTGAGAATGGATAAAATGTTGTGATCACTTGACAATGTATCATGTCCCAGTAAACCTCAATTAGAATATTATATACTAATTTAATTTATTTAAATAAGTAATTTAACAAATATTTGTATTGATAATTTATTTAATATATTTATATAATACAAATCTTATATATTATTATATAATTATTAGAATATAACAAATAATTGACTTAGTATTTTTGTCATTAACGCTTACATAACTAATTAATAAAGAATTTAATAATAATATAATATAATAATTAATAGATTTTGGACAGCATTACCTATATGGTAGAAAGTAATCTTCACTGATCATAAATCTCTAAGCTGTTTGGATAAAATGAAAACTTCCAATAAGATGATGATAAGATTGATGAGATAAGATTATTATTATTATTATTATTGATAAGATGGTCATTAGCGCTACAACTATGTAATTATGAACTTGTGTATAAAAAAGTGGTTACCGTACTAATGGTAATGCCGATGGTTTAAGTAGAGCTTGAATTATCTAGTCATTTCAGTTGATAAGATAGTTAAGTATTTTAGTATGTAAATGCGTCTTTAATCAAATTAAGGAATTGTTTGATATATATATATATATATATATTTTAAAAGGCAAATGGGAAAAACCCAAAATTAAAATTATATATATGTATTATATATATATATTTATTTATATATATTATGACCTATAATGATTAATGTATATTTTGATGTTGATGTTTTATATGTAATTTTGTTATTAACAGGATCCTGAAGTGATATTAAGTATCAGGATTTACGCTGATAGCAATTGATGAATATTATGAGTGATGTTTATTCTTTCAGGTTAGGAAACAAAAGACATTAGGTCTTATGTGATAGCCTGAAGTACGTTATGTGAAATTTTAATTCATATTTGCAACAGACTACAGAGCAGTCTAAAACAGGAAGGGGGATGTAACGGGGTATATTATTATTTTATTTGTATTTATTGCAAGTTACAGTTAACATTACCAAATGGAGGGCTTCTTTACCA